AAAATCCTCCTTTTCCCACGCGGGTTAACAATAACGATCAGTCTGTTAGCATATTTCGCGTGACTATGATCCCTAAAGTCTAACACTTAAGATTCTTCATTGTTACTCAAATAATCATTTTGATATATTGGCGACGAAAACAGGGAACACTCACATCCAACGAATCAATTTCTAACGCTGTAAGTTTTTAAGTCAAGCAACTAATTAAACTTTGGTGAGCTATTATCTCCATTTATTGCTCTAAGAAACGACAAACGTCACATATTTTATCAATAACACCTTCTGGTGGCACGTGTAGGTGAGATCTACCGCTCTGCACTACTTAACGAGCACCGTTAGAAAACGCTATGATACACATATTACAAGTGGAGGCATAATTGTTTCGAAGCAACTCCTAGTGCTCTTAAAAAAACCTAATTCGGGGTTAAATAAACAAAGAGTGGCAACTGTCAGTAATTAATAGTAGCATTAAAATGAATAAAAACCCGTCACCACAAGTTGATGTTTATAGCCTAAGGCTATGTCATTAAAAAATGCACTGTTTTTCGCCAAGTATTGTGTGTCCCTTTGCTAAATTGTTAAAAAAGCTTTAAAATTCGAATGAAGCATCTGCTTGAAAAGTTAGTTTCATTTCTGTCATATTTTTTTACTTAAGTAAAAAGGCTTACTACGACTAAATTTGGGCAGAAATACCTGACGAAAATAATTTGCATGACAATCCATTTCCCTTAGTGTATGTCAGCACTGAGTAAACGGCTGGTTCTTGCCAAAAGGAGTATTATCACAAGCCTTGCATTTATATTGGCAAAGGATATTTCGGACAGATCTCCAGCCGCTGACAATTTTCTAAAAGGTTGCATTTGGTTCAGCTTACAGGAATTAAACTCACTCAACGGAAAAAATAATGATGACGAGAAGCCACCAGTTGTGGGGAACACTCCTGTTATCAATAACTATGTTGAGTGAGTACCAAAGCTTCTCTTAAAAGATTGATTTCATTTAGAATGCAGCCTAAGCGCACTCTGAGGAGTCCATCTCATGGCTGCCATTTGAAAATTCTTTGAAATAAAATTGAGCGCAAACAAAGACCGCTAAAACTTATAATAGTTTTAGATTAGACGATCCTTAAGGGCAGGTGGCCACACAGGCTTTTTCTCAGGAAGCCAAGACGAAATGTTTTATGCGATCTATTTCAGGAAGCCATTTAACCTAAGCATTATTGAGATACAGGCTTAAAGCTAGTCCTCACTCATAGGTCTACAAAGAAAAAGTGAAGCTTTTGCGCAAACATGCAAACAGCGGCGCGATATTTTAAGCCTGTTCTTTTTTTTTTCCAATTTAAAGATATGCAAATTTTGTAATGACTAAATAGAAAGTTGAAATTTAGGTCGCCTCTCACCTCTTACAAACTACCGAGCTTTGCAGCCTAACAATACTATTTCAAGTCCTCCAAGTTTTGTTTTCTCCTTGAAAATTTTCATATGGGTCAGTTTTTCCTGGGTATTTAATATACCATTAATCTGTAAACAATATCTGAGAAGCCAATATTGTTATGCAAAAACGTTCTTTACACCCAGGGATGCCTTTATGTATTTCTCAATTCCCAAGCTGCAAAACGTAGTTTCGGAAAGAAGGCTCACTCTTTAATCTTACAAAGGCTGTCTATCTTTGGAAAAAATAATAATGATATAAACTAAAATTAAGTAAACAAACAAAAACATGGACAAATAAAAATAAATAAACAGTGTTAGTGATACAAAATATGATAAAATACTCAGATATGTCTCACCTATATAGAAAGTTACATAAAAGGCTTAGTTGTTTTAAAGAAATCGCTTTGTATTAACTTGTATTTTCGAAACCTCTGTCAGCTTCGCGGTAGTTGAAGACTTGGTTTGAACGAAATGGTGTATGCAATCACTCTACTGTAATGGTAGTTTCCATGAAAATTATACTCGGCAGTCTTATGCAACAGTGGTATAAAGTTGTTTATTTACGCAACGAAGGTCTTGTGTTTTTCACAACTATCTTCATCATTATTTCCATATTGAATATTCTTATATTTTTGGTTCTGTTCTTGTTTTTGTTGTTTCAGGTTTTGGGGTGGACAGTAAGGATTGCAATGAGGATAAATGTAAATCGGAAGTTAATAATGGAGACTATTATTGTAATCCGCTCGGGGATTGCAGCAGAGGTAATTATAGTTGTTACATGAACTGCAAGGGGAGAGGGTGTAAACAGACGTGCTTTGCTGGAGTAGATGTGTGTGAAATGGATCTGGAATGTAAAGGTGGCGATTGTGAACAAATCTGCGAGGCTAAAGAATGTAAACTGAACTGCAGCGGGAAAAACTGTAAAACACAAAAGTGCCAAGGTAAAGGAAACGTATGTGAAATGGATTTAGGATGTAGCAGTAAGGATTGTGAACAAATCTGCGAGGCTAAAGAATGTAAACTGAACTGCAGCGGGCAAAACTGTAAAACACAAAAGTGTCAAGGTCTAGGAGGTGAATGTGAAATGGATCTAGAATGTAACAGTCAGGATTGTGAACAAATCTGCAAGGCTAAAGAATGTAAACTGAACTGCAGCGGGGAAAAATGTAAAACACAGAAGTGCGAAGGTGAAGGAAAAGCATGTGAAATGGATCTAAAATGTGACGGACAGGATCAGGATTGTAAACAAACCTGCAACGTTGATAAATGTAACCTGAAGCGCAGCGGGAAAAAATGTAAAGAACAAAATTTCACAGGAAATGTACAGGTGTACGATATGCATTGTAACGCTAACGTTTGTACAAAGACGTGTTACGGTACATGTAACATTACTAGAACTAGGCTAACCAGTTCTCATAATAAGCTAATATGCAGTGGGGATGTTGAATGTTGTGGAGGACCCGTGCCGCCTTCCATAACACGGTCCCTTACGGCGGAAATCTTTCACATCGACTGTAGCGCAGGTAAAAGCTGCAAATGCACCAAATTTTCGGAAAGTCACTGCATCACTTCAGATTCATACACGTCGAGTATCGTTTCATCTAGTGGGGCTTCAAAAATTCAAGTATTCGCAACAAAACTTCCAACAGGACATGGAATAGAAGCTTACAGTGAGTACAATGATAAATTGAATGCTTAAAACGCTCATTTTTGTTTTACGAAAAAGATTTTATAGATTAAAAAAAAAAAGAGATAGGAACTATGTTCTTTTAAATTCGCCTTACCATAGTGTCAATTTTTATTTTGACTATCAAGTTTTCTTCAACATTCAGCTCTGTTGCAGTCACTGTCGCAGTCACCTTTATCATTAATCTTACCTTCATCATTACCATCATCTCCATCACCATCAGCAGCGGTGTTACCAGTAGGGGCATCAGTATATTTATTAACACTATCACCATCGTCATCAAAGCCAGCAGTAACATCAGCATCAGGATCATCATCAGCAGCATCATCGGAAGCAATATCAACAGCGGGGGTATCAGCATCTTCATTAGCACTATCACCATCACCATCAAAGCCAACGGAAACATTAGCATCATTATCAGGATCATCAGCAGCAGTATCATCGTCAGCAGTATCAGCAACAGCATCATCATTATTGTCATCATTATCAAATACATCGGCAGCAAGATCATCGTCGTCTCTACAGACTCCTCAGTCATCGACGTTAGAAGTTATTATGAATCTGGTAAGCAAATTATTTCTCTCCAGCTTTTTATTTTCAACATTGCTGTTTGCCGACTTTATTGTCTTGCTTTACCCAGGCAAATGAATCTGTTTCCAAACTAAGAGGAGAAGAAATCTATAGAACCAGGTCCTTGATGGTATGAATTTACTACTTGCTTATCTTTTATGATTAAGCCACTTAGTTTATATGAAATGCGCAATGATTCGAAAGACTGACCAACGCATTCCAGCAGTTTCTATGCTTGAAATAAACTTCGTGTTCATTCGAACAAGACCAAACAGGACTGTATCATTATCGCCATCGTCATCATTATCATTATCCTTACTATAGTTATCATAACAGTATTATCGTCACTATCGATATTATTATCATTTCTAAGATATGAACAGGTACGAGTAAAACGAGTGATTCTCTAAAAAGATATTCCGACTCCTTAGACGAGTTTTTGGACACTTTTTCAACTTGTGCACATCCCACACAACGTTTGGCCATTTTACTGGATTTTTTTTCTTTCATCCATTTGTGGTCTGATTCATTCCTTTCTAATTTTTTACCCATAATCTAACTAGGGAAAGACGAAAGATGGGCCTTAGTAGCATATTGAATGCGTTGCCGTTACCTCAAACCGTTTTGTTAAATTTTCTAACGCGATCAGGGGCAGGTTTCTGCGGCTGAATATTCATGGGATGTTCAGATATCATGTTTGACTCACATGGATCCCAATTTTTAGCGTCTCACTTTAACAGATATATGTTATGTTATTACAGGAGGCTATACAGATTTTTGAAGATTTCATCACCCGTATTCAATTCCTCCAAAAACCTCTCACCAAAGAGCAAATAGAAGTAACAAGAAATTCCATCTTTAAGGTGGCAGACGCCTTGGAAGTATTTGCACTTAATTATGGCAAACACCAAATGATTGGAGCGAATTCTTCAGTG